AAAGGGTAAAATGAAGCCGCACGAGTAAATGTTTGCCAACACTGGTATTGTACAGGGTCAGACTTAACATTGATAAAAATGTTTCTGGAGCCATTATTAGATGCTTAGTTCTGGACTTAGTATACAGACTCTGTGAAGAAGAACTCACACTAAGATTGGAGAAAAACTCATTAATATGCCAACACCACAGTGTTGCCTTCTAAAAGCAAAATTGGAGTTGCTAAGGATCTCCTCATACTTGGATCCCTGAGCAACATGCATGGAAGTAACAGATAATAAGTCAGGTGAGCTGTGTTGCATTGGGCAAAGCTTCTGGAAAGACCTCCGAAAGGGCTTTAACTTGCAGTCGAGTAAAAGTGTCTTTTTGAGAACTTTAGTGCACCTGACCCTAGCTTTGGCATTTTCACTGGCCTCATAAGCATATAAAAACTGGACAATGATTAAGGAAGACTAAAGAAGAATTAGTGCTGTTTATACCATGGGCTGCCAAAAGAACAAATCCACCTTGGAAGGTGTGCCGGCAGAATGTTCCTTAGAAGCAAGGATGACAAGTCTCTCCTACTTTGGACGTTTTCTCAGCAGGGAATAGTCGTGTTTGGTAAAGTAGAGAGTACTGAAAAAGAGGGAATCAATGAGGTGAATTGATGCAGTGACTGTTATAGTGGACTCAAACCTAGCAACAGTTAGGATGACGGTACAAGACCAGCCAGTGTTCTGTTCTGTTAGACATTGGCTCAGGATGAGTCAGAACCCATTCACAGCTCACCTAACAACAGCCGTATGCCAGGTCATACACCCGGGGACATTATGACACAAAAGCAAATGGCATCCGGCCTACATCAAGGTTGCCATTTAGTTAGCACCAAGTAGCGAAACCCACAGAGTAGATTTACAAACAGACTGCAGTTAAGTGCTAAGAAAAAGAAAGCGTGTTTAAGAAGATTGGGGAGACTAACTTGGATTGGAGGTCAGAGAAGGCCTCTCTGAGGAGGCATCATTGATGCTGAGCTCTGAAAGATGAGAAGCAGTTAATCAGTCAGAGGTAAAAAGCAAGTGTTAAGTCCCTGGAGTAGAGAAGGACTAAGAGCCACTGTTCGTAGAGTTTGGGGGTGGCAGGTGCAGTGAAGCCGAATGGCAGGCCTGATCCTTATGGGCCCTGCTAATGACTTTGATGTTCTCCTAAGGGGTCTTTCTTTTAGCACTGTTTGATTTGGTCACGATAAACTACTTTAATCAGACATTCCTGGATTCAGGCTGCTCTCCCAGAGGAAGAGCAATCCAGAACGACTGACAGTCTTAGATTAAGTTGGATCTTTCCTAGTTCCTTCTCTGCCCTCCAGCCTCCACCAACCACACTCTGCCACCCTGTGATGAACATGTGAAACACAGTGGATATGAGTGAAACACAGTGTGTATGAGCGAAACACAATGGATATGGATGAAACACAATGTACACGTATGCAAATCAATATAAAATAAAAATAATTTTTTAAGAAATTAAATGACCACAGGATCCTATTTCAAATCCTTGGGTAGTACACAAGGTTGAAGTGCTTAATTGCCATCTGAAAGACTAGATGTTCAGATCTGGGAAGAAGGGCCTTGAGAAGCTTTCTGAAACACCTGTAAAACCCACTTAACCCTGACACACACGGGGGCGCTGCGAGTCAACTCCCACTTGATGACAGCTGGGATTTTTTGGAGATTTTTTTTTTCCTCCTCCATAAGTTTCCTTTTTCAATTGAAGGGTTCTTTTTGAAAAAGACAAATAGACTCTAAGTCACAGCAAGCCAATCTTCTCAGGGACTCAGTTCCGAAAATGAGAGGCATTGTTTTCATTTGCAAGAACCTAACTCTCCCTTCTTGGCTAAAATGCTAGCAGCCTCCTCTTGCCCATATGTGACCACCTTTCCCTTTCAGTGGATGAAACAGCTTCAGCTGGGCATTGGCTTTCATCGTCTGAAAGTTAGATCTCTGGTGAACAGATAGATGATGGGAAAGCCAGAGAGGAAGGCTAGGGGTTAAGGTATCCATACTGGTTTCCACATCCCGCCACATTCCAGCAGAATTCTTCCTGATAAAGTCCTTGCACATCCGAGCTGGAAGGGCCTCAAGGATTGACTCACCTAGCTCCTCTTTCTTGGTGTCAGGGTTCTGGTGATGGGACTGGACCCCAGTGGCCACCTCACACCAGCCTTCCCAGAAGGCTTGGTGCTTACAGCTTGCTGAAGACAGCCTGGAAATTACTGCTTCTGTAAACAGCATCTCTTCACAAGGCTTAAGTCCAAGATTTTATGGCCCACTTTGTTCACACTAATGTGCCCATTGCCTGTGGGTCAGACTTCCAGAGACACCCTACGAGTTCATTTTCCTTGACCTTCAAGAGTCAGGAACCTTCTCTAGAGAGAGGTCAGAACCTTCGAGAAGTGGGGTTTTATCACCAACCTGATCCTGGGAGTCTCAGGGATTCTCATTAAGAAAGGTCTTTTAGTGTTAAAGGTTTTTTTTTTTTGTCGTTGTTGTTGTTTTAAGTCCTGGACTGACCTTGAGATGATGATAATGTTTTTATTGTTCTTGAAAGTAGCTAATTGCAACAAGTTACTCTGAGCTTAGGACCATTTCAGAATGCGTTTGAAGTTCACTCCTTGCAACAGCATCTTGCATTTACTGGCAAAGTAGTTGTACATCTGTATGTAAAATGCGATGTTTATTGAGGCCACATGCAATGCTCAGAAAGCAGATGCGTTGAATCAGGGTGAAGTCTCTCTCAGGGAGGAGTGATAGGGAATGGCAAGGGACACACTGACAAAGGAGATTAATCAGAACTGGCTTTGACAAGCACTGTGGCAATTGGACAATTAAAACAGACATGGGAGGGGAGAAGAACGAACTGGGGAGGAGGGTGGAGAAAACAGTGCAACAATGAATGAATGAAAACCCCAAATCTCTGTAAATGTTCATGAAAACTAATAAAATTTAATAATAATAATAATAAAAGAAAAAGAAAAACCTGCAGAAAATGTAAAAAAAAAAAAGCAGATGCGTTTGAAGACTTGCTTTAGTGGCCTGACTTCCCCCAAAATTCTAGGGCCTACAATTTTAGAGTAAAGGGATCCATTGACAGAGAACCACCACCCTATTGGGGATCACCTTGCCCACAGACAGGTTCTTAGTTTGGAGGAAATGAAGCAGAACTGACCCTCAGGAGGCCCCGTTTTGATGAGGAGTAGAAGCAGGTTGTCCAAGGTCTTCTGCTGGGCCCTGTTTTATCAAGACTCCAGGCTGCTTCCCTCAGCTCATAGGAGCTCTGGTGACATAGTCCACAGAGTGCTGTGTTGCTCACCCACAGGCAGCAGGTCCCTGTGGCTGGAACCCACCCGCAGCTCTGAGGGAGAAAGTTCAGAGCCTCCCAGAAAACCAGTGGGTGGTTTTGACTTTACAGCAATGAATTTGAGTCTAGTTCTCAGATCAGAGATACAGAAAGGTGAGGTAAAATGACCTCTGCTTTAAACACTCTTCCAGCTCCCCAAAGGGACATTTGGCTCCTTGAGGTTCACGTCACTGCCATCATGTGCTTATGTGATTTGGAAGTATTCTGTATTGCCTTATCGAAACACACAAGTCATGTGTGCGTGTCGTAAAATGAACAAGCAAAACAACCACTGGAGAAATGTGTAAAGGGAACACTTTAGTGTTTTAAGTATTTCTGTGCAGATACCGACTATATGAATATTTCCACAGAAGGAGGATATTTCTATACATAGGATTCTCTTTAGTCTATAGGGGTTTTAGAGACTGTCATTACTTGCTTGGGGTAAGGCACCAACAAAGTTCTCAAGAGCACAGCGATTAGGCCTGGCTCAAGGTTTAAGTCTTGACTGTCACATGTGAGCTGGATGGTATTGGCTGACTCACTTATCTTTTATAGCCCTTTTCCTAGTAACTGCGATGGGGTCTGCTTTTCCTGGTAATTGAGATGGGGCCTGATTCGAGGCCTCCTTTCTGAAAGGTTGCTGTAGAATTTTAATGGGATTATATATAGAATATATATAGTTTTTGTAGACCATAAAATATATAAGACCAAATCCAAACCGAACCCTTTTCTGTTGAATCTGTTCTGACTCATTAGAAACCCTCCCTTGGGTTTCTGAGGCTGTAAATTTTTTTTTTTTTAATTTTCTTTTTTATTTTAATGCAAGTTTACAGAGGTTTCCAGTCATTCATTGTTACACTTTTCTCCCTTCCCACCCCCTCTCCCCCAATTCACTCTTCTTGAAAAGCAAAAGAAAAACTCTTTCGTTGTTATGCAGTCCCTCCCCCCAAGTCCACTCCAGTATGTAGCCTTCATTCTGGACTCCTGTCATGACAATAATACCCAATCATATATCCCTTTTAAACAGTTCTCTCCCTTATCTGTTTCAATGCAGTATACATCATTCCTCTCCTCCTTTTCTGTCTTGCCTCATCCCCGATGTCAGTCCAGCTTTATAACAGTGGCTCTATTCAGTATTTGCCCTTTTGTGACTGAGATATTGCACTTAGCATAATGTCCTCCATGGTCATCCATTTGGCATATTTCATGAGTTCCTTGTTTTTCAGTATTGCACAGGATTTCACTGTGTGAATATACCAGAGTTTCTCTATCTATTCATTTGTTGATGAAAACTTGGGTCGTTTCCAGCTCATTGCTATTGCAAACAAAGCCACAATAAACATGGGTGTACATATAGAGCTGTAAATTTTAGTAGGGAAAGATTTCCCATGTTCTTCCTTGGGGCCATCGGTGGATTCAAACTGCCAGCCTTTTGATCATACTTTATGTGCTATGCCTTCAGGGCACCTTCTAGATAGAAGAGATTGTTATTATTTAAACTCATGATTTTAGCAGTCTTTCTTTTTGAATACTTGGATTCCTATCAGTGAATACTTCATGGCAACTTACTCATTGGTTTCCTTGGAGACAAATAGTAACAAATAGTTTGCTCTTTCCTCTTCTCTAGGTTACTCTGGACAGCAAGGCTGCCAATGCTCAATTATGTAACGGTGACTTAATCACAGCCATCAATGGGGAAGACACTAGCGCTATGACGCACTTGGAAGCTCAGAACAAAATCAAGGGTTGCCAAGGTGACATGACTCTCACCATAGTAAGGTAAGGCCTGTGGGAATGTCCATCATTTCTGAAGTTGGTGAGGGCACTCACTGCTCTCTTTTCCTCCTAATCTGTTAAGGTCCTCTAATTCCCCACTTTGTACGCTGCAGGCATGCCGAAAGGCCAGTGAAATGAGACTTGAGTGGGGCCCCCCTCCTGCTGTAAGTTAGACTGCAAGCTGCTTTCTCTATGTTATCTGCATTTTTATTGGATAGCACACTAGTTACCATTGCCATCAAGTGGACTCCAACTCATGGTGACTGCATGTGTGTCCGAATAAACCTGTGGCTTCATTGCGTTTTCAGTGGCTGAAAGCAAATACTGATTTTTCAGAAGTACAACACCAGGCCCTTCTTCTGAGGCATTTCCACACAGACCTGCACCACAACGCTACGGTTAGCAGCTAAGTGTGTTAGTCATTTTCCTACCCAGGAACTCCTTAATCCACCACAAGGAATGAAAGATTTTGATCGAGTAAAAATCAGCTGAGTTTTGTCAGACATAATGAAATGAAAGCTTCTTCCTGGAGCTATTGAAAATCCACTTAGGTTGCTGCTCCTGCCACACGTGCTGCACGGCGAATACTATGCCAGGAGGTTACCAAAACCTAAGAGAAAAACTTCTACATATTAAATAAGTACTGAGTGTAACTGTAGTGCTTCAGGGAAGGAGAGGAGGTGCTGAATGAACCTAACAGGTTGGCGAGTGAGGGGAGGACTTTAGGAGTTATAATTGGGGTCTGATTACCATTCTTCTTTCCCTTAATCTTTGATGGAGTCCTTTAAGAGCAAGATTTCAAGAGTGATTTAGTTTAACAGTAAATCGAAACAATTCCCTATTTCCTTCTGGGTTTCCCTGATGGCCTAATGGTTAAGGAACTTGTCAACTCAAAGGCAGGTCATTCAGTCTTTGAGAGAGAAAGATGGACAGTCCCTCGTGATTTACAGCCTCTGAAAACACACTGGAGGGGCATCCATGAGTCACTTCCAACTCCACAGCAAGGAATTTTGTTTTCTTTCCTACTGGATCAAATTGAGAGTCTTGATTCTGATCTTGTACTAACCTGCCCTTTAACATCTCACTAACCTTAGTTTTTGCAGATCTTTATCATGAGCCCTTTGCTCAGGTTCCTGTATGAACTGAATTTATTGCCTTCCTGTGCCTCTGCTATGTGTAAGGGGCCCTGGTGGTGCAGACAGTGAGGAGCTCAGCTGCTAACTGAAAGGTGAACCCACTTGGGGCACTGCAGGAGGACCTGGAAGTCTATTCCTGTAAAGACTGTTGTTGTTAGATGCCATTGAGTAACAATAATCCATGACACAGGATTGCCATGAGGATCAGATGTGTGACTGCACGTCAGAGCATAACACATTTCAGAACCCTATCCCATGGAACGCGATAGTGTCACTATCATTCATGTGTATTTATACGTTAGTTGTATCTAAACACACATACACACACGAAGCTCTGGTCCCATAGTGGGTAATGTGTCAGCCTGCTAATTGTAGGGTCAGTATTTTTGTTTGTTTTTTTTTTAGGGTCAGTTTTTTTAACAACGGGCAATCTCCTACCATCAAGATTTACAGCCCTACAACAAATCCCTTATCATAAGGATTTACAACAAATATCATGCTTGGGAGGGTGGAGGGACAGTGCAGGAGAGGAAGGCCCTCTATGAGGTGGATTGATTCAGTGACTGGGATAATTGGGATGGGAGTGTCAGAGACAGTGCGATTGGCACAGGACAGAGCGGAGTTTAGGGCTGTTGTACATAGGGTTGTTATGAGTCGCAAGTGACTCGATGGCACATAACAACAACAACAACAACAACAACATGTATTGTTGTTGTATGCCATTGAGTCAGAACTGACTCAGAACTGACCCTTCCTGAGGTTTTCAAAGGCTTCACATTGCACACGAGGAGATTGCCCATCTTTTTCCTGCAGAGCAGCTGGTGGATTCGAACCATGTGCTTTAGGGATGGCACTACACCCACTTCATACCATTAGGGCCCATAGTAGCACTTGTGTGTCTGTGTCTGTGTGTCTGTGTGTGTCTCTGTGTGTATGTATCTATATCTTGACTTGATGGCAATCAACAACAACAACAATATGTATCTCTATATGGAGATATATGTCTCTATATGGAGATATATATCTATATGGACATATATGTGTATGTAGATATATATCTATATGAAGATATATATGTAGATCTATATGAAGATAGATATCCATATGAAGAGATACATATCTATGTGAAGATATATCTATGTATACACACACTGCACAATCCAGGGATGCCTGAAATATTCCATGCATAATGAGACATGTTTCCATTCTTCTTAATCTGTGTTATTTATTAGCATGAATGCAACAACAGCTCTGTTCATTTGTTGCAGAACTGAACAAAGTAATAAAATCTGGTCCCCTTTGGTGACCGAAGAAGGGAAGCGTCACCCGTACAAGATGAATTTAGCTTCTGAACCTCAAGTAAGTACTTATTCTTCACAGCCACTGCTTTTCCCAGGCAGCTTCTTTTCTGCTTTTGATAATGCTCTGCACAGTCTCTTTTTTTTTGCCCCTGAGGTCTGAGGAGAAGACAGCCCAGAGAATTTGGCCCCTGCCATGGTTGGGGTCTGGCTCATGTTCAGTTCTTCCCGTAAGGAAACTTTGAGAGGAAAGAGCTGGAAAACCCCAGGCAGTGACGCCAAGGCCTAGGCTGGAAAGAGGTGGTCGGAAGGCGATAAGGGAAGCGGGTGGAAGCCTTCCTGCACGGAACAGGGTTGGCAGGACTGGAGGATAATGGAGCCACAAACAGCTCCGTATGGATTACAGATACGAGGGACTCGTACAAAAATAAGTTTGGGTTCCAAAGTCTGGAGCCTGAAAGACATAGGGGGAAACTGAGTAGTAAACCTTCTTCTCTTCCTGGTGCCCCTCCAACTGGTTACCATGAACTTCTTGGGTAGAAATTTCTATTTTTGTTATAAGTAAAAGCATGACTTCTTGTGAGACTTGATTTAGAAATTATTTAGTGCCTGATACACAGCAGATACTCAACCAGTAATTTCTAAATTTTAAATTGCCAAGTAAATGGTATAAAAATTTAGAAGTTATTGGAATAAGAGAATTATTATTAAAAAACAAGGTAGAGAGTCAGTGCATAATTTGTGAGCAAGCACATTTTCCTAGGAGGGCAGACTATTCTAAGATCCCATGTTTAGAAGTCTGTCAGTAGCTAGATTACAGATGATCGATTTCTTTCCTTCTTATTTGCATTTTTGACATTTCTTACAATGAATGAGAATTCCTTTTGAAATAAAAAAAGGAACGCAAGACAATATTTCATTTTTATGGTGAATTGATATGAAACCCCAAATGATATACAGTCGTCTTATAAAAACAGAAACTTTTATGAGGTTGAACTCAATGTATTGACCCATGGCTGTTGAATTAATTCTGTTGATTATGAGATACAGCATCCCTGTAGAACAGAGCTCTGGTGACTTTATGGTAAGGAGTTGCTCTTCTAACCCAGAGTTCAAATCCATTAGCTGCTCCCAGGGAGAAAGATGGGCAGTCAGTCTCCTCCCGTGTGATTTAAAGCCTCTGAAAACCTTCCGGAGGGTCAATCAGAAGTTGATTCCGACTCGATCCATAACAACAACAACATAGGACAGAGTAGAGCTGCCCTGTAGAGTTTTCAAGGTTGTACTATTTATGCATGTAATCTTTAAGCCATATCTTTCTGCAGAGCACCTGGTGGGTTCCAACTATAAACATTTTTAATTAGTACTAGGTGACCTAGTGCTAAGAATCTGCACTGCAATCCCATAGGCACAAGGTTTGAATCCACTCGCTGTTTCTTAAGAGAAGGATTAGCATTGTCCTGCCATGGGATTTACTGCCTCTCAAAACCCCCTGTAGGGTCAGCTCTGGTTCTGACTGGATGATACCTCAACAACTGAGTTTTTAAACACTCTGCCACCAAAGCTCCTTCTTGATTCACTGGTGTATGTACATTGAGCAGTTTATGTAGGTCATATTTTCTAAAAAATGTACATATTTTCTTAAATGGCTTGACTAGAATTTTCAGTAGTCATGTACAAATTTGCTTTTCATTCATATAGTAAAAGCCATAACTAAGAGTCCTTAGAGACACTTTGAGGATTATTTTGCATCTGACATTTCAAAGCTGAGATGAGCATATTACTCTATACAGTTCTCTCAGGAAAGTTCATAAAATGAAAAACAAGGTAGAGAGTCTATAAATTCCGTCTATAGACTTGCAGTTTTGTAGGCAACCTTAAAACAAGCCAGTTAGTTCCAGTTTATCTGGGAGCTTTCAGCCAGCTCATTAAATTGACTGTAAATGTTAAATTTTAATGTGTTAAGCTTTCATATCTCTTATTACCTGCAAGACAGGATAGTGTTTTAACTTGTATATTGGAAATCTAGTTTTTGCTTAACTCAGAGAAGCATTTGCATTTTAGTTTACTTTCTCTTTTGTTCTGTACTTGAATTTTCATCCAGAGTCTATAATTTGGTTACTATTTTCATATTTTGAAGGTTGATCGCTTTCAATTAAAAAAAAATCTTAAATACATTGAAATCTAAATTAGGTCTCTTTTTTTTTAACTCCAGAAAGTCTTTATTCTTTACACTTTTGAACAGCTGTAAATGTCAAATTATGTACCTCTAAGTTTTCCAAAATCTTCCATATCAAGTATCTTAAAAAAAAGAAAATGGAATGAAAAAGGGCAGAGTTTATGGTATGTAATAAAAAGATCTGTTAGTTCATGATATGCCAACTGACACTGCAGCTTATCTGAAGTTGGGGTAGCTACACACCTAGTTTGCATTTCCTCATTATTGAGTTTCCTTGGAAACTGATAAATAAAAAGCCCAAACAATTACCTCATCCCTTCCAGCACCCGGGCCTGACATCTGGAAAGACCAGTTTTCACAGGGGGTTAGAGATCTTCCTTTCATACACAAAACAGATACGTTCTCAAAGATTCTCTATAAAGTGAAAACCAGGATTTCCAGTCCTACTTCCCCATTGCCTTTCACTCTCATTGGAATTGTGCTTCTAAGATGAGAGAAGCCAATAAGCATTGATGAGATAGCTGCAGTGTGCCAGGCACTGTGCTTGGCATACTTGGGTGTCACAGCAAGTTCCTGTCTTCATTTTAAAGATGCGAGAAATGGGCTCTGAGAGATTAATACTTTTCAAGGCCGAACACAGTGGCTTGGGAAACAGAAAAAGAACTCATCTCTGTACTCAGCACCCCATGCTGTTCTGGGGAATTTCGGTGGAAATGGAGGAGGAGATATTTTGATCTTGGCTGTAGCTGTGGCCTCTATCCCACAGGGCATTACTACAGACAGAAGTACCAGGCTGCCCATCCATAATTGGCTGCACAGTCGTCACTCTGACCACAGCCTCATTGATGACTGTGTATTATTCCTTTGGGTAGTTATATAAGAACATAACCATTTTTTGAATATTGCTGATATTTTTAGAGTTGTGAGGGTTTTTTTTTTTCTCTTCTTCTTCTTAACTAATTATGCTTTTGTCTATGGTCTGTGTGGACATTGCTTTTGGACTTAGCTTTTGGGTCCTAGAGATAGACAGTGTCACCTGACTGTAATTTTTACAGAAAAAAAATTACTGATTCTGATCTGTTGAAGAAAAACCTTAATTATAAACTATTTTCTGTCTTTTCTTGGATTGTTATTTCTTATGTATAATATTTTCTGTTGCCTGTATATGATTTGAAGATTAGTAAAATTTGAAGGAAAAAATGGAGTAACAGAATAGGAAGTTTTGTGAAGGCAATTATCCTGGACCTGAGCATTTAAGAGAGGTGAAGTTTCAGAAAGCTTCTTTTTTTTAAAAATTTTTTTATTTTTTTTGTGCATGTACTGTCAAATCAGATCTGACTGGTACAGGAGGAAATTGTCCCTCCTTCTCCAGCAGAGCATCTGGTGGATTTGAACCGTGTACCTCTGGGATTTGCAGTACAGCTTCTTGCCACTAGGCCACCAGAGCTCCCCTTTCAGAAAGCTTCTTGAGGAACACAGAAAAGGGATGTTTGTTGACGTTAGCAAAGAAGTCCTTGGGTGATGTAAATGGTTAACTCTTTTTGTTGTTAACCAAAAAGATTGGAGGTTTAAATCTACCTAGAGGCACCTTGGAAGAAAGGCCTGGCAATCCACTTCCAAAAATACCAGCCATGGGAGAGAGGAACTCTTATATGTTGTTGGTGGGATTGTAAAGTGGTTCAACCACTCTGGAAGGCGGTTTGATGTTTCCTCAAAAAGCTGAACATGGATTGGCGAGCTCTGGTGGCATTGTGGCAAGAAGCTACACTGCAATCCCTGAGGTGAACCATTTGAATCCACCAGATGCTCTGCTGGAGAAGGAAGGACAATCTTCTCCTGTACCAGTCAGATCAGATTTGATGGTATACACAAAAAATAATAAAAATAATTTTTTTTTAAAAAGCTGAAATAGACATTCCACATGACCTAGCTATTCTGCTGCTTATAATATATACCCCCAGAAAATGAGAACTAAAGCACAAATGGAGACTTGTACAATGTTCATAACAGCGTTATTCACCATTGCAACAACATGGAAACAGCCCAAATGTCCAACCACAGACAGTAGAACAGATTGAGACATTATGGTCCAGTCACATGATGGAATACTGTGCAGCATGCAGGAGCAATGATTTTGTAAATGACTACCTAACTTGGGAGGAACTAGAGAGCATTATGCTAAGTGAACTAACTCAATCTTATAAGGACAAATAATGTATAAGACCATTATTATAGAAATAGATAACTAGTTAAACATGTATGAGAATCCAAGGGGGGGGAGCAGAGGGGTGAGAATGGACAGGGATGGTGGTGGTTAATCATAGGGTCATACAATTGGATGGGTAGAGGGGAGGGGGAAGGACAAAGGGAAAGATCTGGTGTGAAACACAATGTATACAACCTTTCTAAGTAAAATAAAAATTTTAAAATAAAAAATTTTATTTTAAATTAAAAAGCCCAAAACAATATGAGCCATGGAACATCGTGTACATGCTATGCAGCATGGCTATACTTGGACACACATGGGGTTGCTGGAAATTGGAATTGATACAGTGGCAGCTGGTTAAGCCATGGATTGATCCAGAAACACTTTGTAGAGAACTCACAGCTAGCAAGTCAGAAGTGACTCCCTGCTGTCCCCTAAGCTGGTTTTCTGAGGCTGTAAATTGCACGGGAGAAAATTGTCACTGGTGGATTCGAACCACTGGAGAGTTAGTTGTGCAGCTGCCTGTCAGAACACCAAAAAGCAGTGATTTTTTTTTTATTTAAAAAAACAAAATGGTTAGTTAGGCGAAAAAAACCCAAAGGATGTGTTTTTAAGAGGCCAGGAGATAAAGAAGCTGTAGCTGTTATTCACCAGACTCCTAGCAAATCCAGGGTGGGGGTGGGATGTGCCTTCTCAAATTACAGAGGAGCAGGAATGAAGATAGAGGAACTCAGAGTCCATTTCTGCAGCTCCTTTGGGCTCCGCCCTGTAACAGGTAACCCCCTTCTCTCTGATTATAGCTTTGTTGCTGTCCAGCTCAAACAAGCCCTTCTTTCTCTTAACCCATTTCTGCCTGAGTAGGGAGAGCTACGTGCCTCTTAAGCAGCTGCTTCACCTTGGACCACAACAACCGTTTTTATCTCGCTTGTCTGACCCTGTTCAGTTCTGGGGAATTTATCTCCTCTTGTTATCACTGGGACTGAAGGGACTTTGCAAGTTCCTCTCCTCCTGGTACCATAATCCTTTTGGAATGTGCCCTAGAAAGAGCTTTTAGCTCTGATTTGGATCCTGTCAGCCTGAGATATCCAGGGGTACCCTGCTTAGGGATCACCAGTAGAGATTAGACCAATCTTGGGTGTGAACCTACACACTTGTCCATTTTAGGAGACTTCACAGCTATGGTGGTGTGTCTTAGTGGGAACTTAAGAGTCTTGCATTTGAAATGTAGTGTGGAATCAGGGCCATAGGTCTGTAGCTTGGCTCCTGCATCTCACTCTCTGGCCCTCAGCCTGCACTATCAGTTGGAAGCCTCCTCTTGACTTCCCCTCTGGTCCTTGCCTGCAGGAAATCTTACACATAGGAAGTGCCCACAACCGAAGCGCCATGCCCTTCACTGCCTCGCCCGCCTCCAGGGTCATCACCAACCAGTACAACAACCCAGCTGGCCTCTACTCTTCCGAAAACATCTCCAATTTCAATAGTGCCTTGGAGTCCAAGACTGCAGCCAGCGTAGAGGAGACAAATGGCAGAGCGTAAGTAGAGCTGGGGGCTCAGCCCTGGGAGGTGAGAACCTGGAGGAAGATGGAATCACCACCTGGGAAAGCAAAGGTCCACATCGATGAGCTGGTAGCAAATAATGTATGTGTTAAATTTATTTTTTTTTTTGCCTGCTACGCCCTTCTCCCATCTCATAAGAATGCTGTGTTTTTTAGAATAGCCACTGGGAAAAATAAATTAGCGTAATGCCCTTATGAAAATATGCATAGAGGGAGTGGCTGGCAAAAACAAACAAGAAATGATATAGTGTCATTTGCTTAATAGCCATTTCCCTCATCTATACAGATGGAGTGTTGTTGTTAAGTGCCGTCAGTCGCAGGCGACTCATAGCGACCCTATGAAGGAGACATACACAGATGGAGTACTATACTCTGTATTCATTTCCCTCATCCAGATAGAGAAAGACCACACAGCTCGTAGGACTGTGGTCAAAATAAAATGTAAACAGTGCAGTGCTGCATCACAGAAAAACTAATTGATGAATCACTGAGCTCTCTTGCCTGATATCTTGTGATTGACCATACCTTTCCCTGGCAGCGCTGTGACATCGTGAGAGAAATTCGTTAATGTTTATAGTTGGGATATAGTTGAGGGAAATCAGTAGCTTCTCCTTGTGTTCACCATCTGGTTGAAGTGAAGGAGATTACTTCATGATGCATGTGTTTGGTGAATTAGGGTTTATGTCCCCACTTCAAGGTGACCAGAAGGCATAGAAGGTAGAGATTTCCATAAGGACAGAACTATCTCTCACAGGGCTCAGAGCTGGGAGCAGAGGCAGCTGAACCAAGGGCTGCGGATACAAAGGGTGGAGACTGAGGCAGCATCTTCTCATGCCTGGGAAGTGGGTTCGTCCTGTTGCAGACCATTTGGTTGTAGCAGCCTTTGGAAGTCTCTTCCACATCTGCCCCGCTGGGGTGCCCATCCTCTGCTCCATTGCAAACTCTTTGAGGATAAATCCAGAAACAGCGGGAATAGCAGCAGTCTGTAGCAAAGGGGCTGGGTTTGAGGAGAGTAAGAGATGAGCCAGATCTCTGTGAGTGAAAAGGGGTTGCACTAGGCCAGGAGTTGCAGCAGGCCAGGAGTTGCAACCTCAGATGCTCAGAGGTGACAGGATAAGGAAATGGGGGTGGAGCTCTGAGTGTGATTGGAGGAACAGAGAGGCCCACTGGGGGGACTGGAGAGTGTGTGTCCTGTCCAGAGAGAGATTGCTCTATGAACCAGCCAGATTGGCACGTTAGGGCTAGTGGTCCTGTGTAGCACACTTAAGTAGATGGTCATTGAACAAGAGGAAGACCCTTGAGGAGATGAATTCACAGAGCACCTGCAATAAAGGACTTAAGTACAAGGTTGTGAGGATGGCATAGGATCAGGCTGGGTTTCATTCTGTTGGACACGAGGTCACTACGTGTTGCAGCCAGTTGGATAGTACCCAGTAATAACAGTGTGATAAAGCAGAAGTCAGAAGCCTCTTTTTATCTGGAATTTCAGCCTGTAAATGCGATGAGCCACATTTGTTTGAAAATACCATGTGGACGGACCAGACTTGTGTCATCTCTGAGTTCCTAACTGGGGTTCTCAGAACTGGAATTCACTCTGAAGGTCGTTTTGCCTTTCAATTTCTCCCCAGTTCCCCTTTCACAAGACTCTGCCTGGCTTTTAGGATGATTATGTTATAAATGAATTGCTTCAGGTGTGAGTTCAAAAACTCAAAACTCACTGCTGTTGAGTAGACCCTGACTCATAGTGAGCCCCCATTGGATTTCTGAGGCCTCAGATCATAGCAGGAGGAGACTGCCCGTCTTTCTCCATCAGAGCTGCTGTTGGATTCTAACCATCAGAGATGGAGGTGTTCAGCCTTTGGGCTAGCAGAACAGTTCCCTGTGAACTACGCCACCAGAGGGGATAAAGAACTAGAAGGTTCCAAATTAGTTACATGTTTGTAAAAGCCTGTTGTGGAAATCGCTCTCCAGAGCTTGAGTCAACCCGACCCAGAGAGAGAAACAGACAACTATTAGGCTCTTCTTGCGTACAGACTCCTTCCCTGTGCTGTGAGGGCTCTGTGATCACCTTAACATTTCCTAAACACTAGCATGTAAGAGGAACAAAGACTGTTTTTGTTAGATGACTTTGGCTATTCAAGATGTACTGGTCACTGCAGGAGCCCTGTTGGCACTGATGGCAAAGCGCTTGACTGCTAGCCCAAAGGTGAACTGACTGTCATACCCCCTCACCCCCGTGGTTGTATGGGAGAAAGACCTGGCAATGCAATTTTGGTTTTTGGTTGGTTTTTTTGGTTTGGGGTTGTTTTGTTTTTTTTTTTTTAAATCTAATAGTCTTTTTTTTCCCCTCCTACTAGTTTATTTACAAAATTTGAATACAAATTTGAACAAATTCTTTAAATTCCCTCAAACCGGCCCCCCCCATCAAATTGTATGTGGCAGTGTGCTTTTGTAAAGATACTCATTGCTGATCAGTCAGAACTGCCTCACAGCTGACCCTCCCTCAGGTTCCTGCCTCATAGGGCAGCTGTCCTCTCTAACACATGGGGTTGCTCTGGGTCAGAACTGACTCGATGGCACCTGACAGCAACAAAGGGCATTAACATTTCATCACAGTAACCAAAGCCAAGTGGCAAATAATGTTGTTTCTTCCCCCACCCCTACCAAACTTCTGGTACCTCTGAGTCCTTACTGTAAGGCTTGAGATACGGTGCCTTTTAAGGTGAGTTGGGGACACACAGAGGATGCTAAGGCTCTCCCTGCACACACCTTCACGGGAGGCAGCTCCCCTGTCAGGCCGGCCACTAGCTCACAGTGGAGACACAGAACTGTTCCGCCTTTCTGTTACTTTGGTGCTGGCGGAGGCTGAGAACATGACCCTCCTCACTGTCCCAGAGTGGAATGTTCTGTGATCTGGATTTAATATCCCAGGAAATGACACATTCTTAATTGAAAGAGCTGCTTTGCATGGAAAAAAGTCTTTGCTTGGGAAGTATTTTTAGTATGGCCGTGGCTGTTTTTCCTTCATTAATATCATTTTTCTTCTCTCTTTGCTCCTTCCCCTTTCCCCAAGTTGAAATAAGTAAATCTCAAACTGTCTGGAGACCGTGCAGCCTTGACTTCAGCCTCAGACCCCTCCAGATGCAGATTTAGTGGCGGCCACGGAGCCTTTATCAAAGATCTCCTTCCTGGTGTTTCCAGTACAGGGGACCCGGCCTCTGCTCCTTCCCAAACTCTGTGAGGAATGAATTAATTGAGAAACTAGGAGGAAATCAACAGCCTGCAGCAAGGGAGCTGCCCACACCTGCGGTGTGCTGCCGCGGGGTCCCTGTTGGCGGATGTGCTCCTGCACGGACGCTTGGATTTTCCAGAGTGCTTCTGCAAACCCAGCAGCGGCAGTGGCTTTGCTTACTCCGTCAGCACTAGCTCCCACAGTCTCGCTCTCCCTCACTGTTTAGTCTGTGAATTTTGCCGCTGAGGTTCCAGAACTGGCTCTCCACATGCTTTGTGTCTGAAGTCATCCCTGATTCCCTAGGGCTCACTCTGCCTTTTCTTTGCCCCCTGCCCTCCCCAGCACCACGGTAGGGTGTGTGACTGACTGTCTTGTAGAACTGTCCAGAGCCAAGCAAGCCTTCCAGTCTGATAAGGACACAGAGGATCCCTCTGCCTCTTGTCCAGCACACACACAGCCTGCGGCTGCCCTTTTCCTGTGGGTCAGTTCAGTCTAACAATCATTTATTGACTATTCAGGTACCAGGTAGAAGAGAGAAACGCTGCTGAATTCAGTGGAAGGCCAGCACCTGTCGCCTGACCTCTTTGAGCTGAGTTTAGGGCCTTTGGAGGCTGAGGGGAGCTGCCGCACAGTCCTGTTTGGCTAGTGTAGTCAGTTAAGTGCTTGACTACTAACCAACAGGTTGACTCTTCAGACCCACTCAGATGCCTCCAAAGAAAGGCCTGGTGATCTGCTTCTGAAAGACCATAACCTTGGAAATCTTAGGGAGTGCACTTCTGCTCTGCACGTGAGGGGTTGCCATGATATGGAACCTACTCAGTGGTGGCTACTTTGATTTTAGGGCTTTCAGGGCCTAGGGGGTATGGAGAGGGTTGCACTACCAACCCCAAAGCAGGCAGTTAGTTCGAATGCACCAGCTGCTCTGAGGAAGACAGACAGTCCATCTCGTCTGATACGATTTACAGCCTCCGAACACCCGCAGAAGACCTGTGAGTCACTGCTGACTTGATGACAATGAGTTGTTGCCCCCCGAGTTTGGCATTTTGGTCATTTTTCTGTGTATTCGGGGCCTAGATTTATTTATGTGATGCTGCCTGGTACTTTACTCAAAGTTCAGGCTGTGTGTTCTACAAGGGCTTGAGTTTGGATTCCAGTGTCTCCTTTTACTACTGTGTGGCCATAAGTATACCATAGAACTTCTCTGAAACTCAGTCTTCTCCTCTCTGGAGTGGAGGCAATACCAGCAGCCTGACCGCCAGGTTGATGAGAGGAGCTCATGAATTGGGTATAAAGCATGTAGCCCAGTGACTGAGCTGCTGGGGAGCACTCAGCAAATACAAGTTATTTCATCATTGAAGCCTTTAAATTGTGGTGGTAGCAAAAAGTATTGAAAAGAACGTCTCTCTTGTAGGAAGTGTAACCGGGGTGCTCCTTGGAGACAAGGGTAGTCAAACTCCATCATACATACTTTGAGCATGTTGACAGGAGGCTCCAGTCCTTGGGGAAAAAGACATTATATTGGGTCAGAAAAAAGAGAGGAAGACCCTCAGTGAGTCGATCGATATAGTGACGGCTTGAGCATGATGGGGTCCTAAAGGCTAGTGTTTTTTTTTCCTTTTTGTTTTTTACTCAGTCCTAAGTATTTTATTTAAGAACAAAGTGAGGCTTATTTTAGTTAAGATGAGGTGGGGATTAATTATCAAGAGCAATCACTGAACTCTACCTTTTCTCTCAAACCAGTTAC